GTCCGTGTTGAAATATATTTTAAGAAATTTACAAAACTAAACATCCTACAGTATTTTTACAGTTAAAATAAATGTTTATTAAATAAAGTAATGTTACAACTAATCATGGATCCTTTTAAATTAAGAGTTGAATTATTTTACTGACAAAGCCTCCTGATGTGGACGACTTCACCTTTAATTACCTGAAAACAGAGACGTGTTTACAGCTGATTCATCTTTAAACATTATAACATATTTACATAAACACATCCCTGCTGAGCTGCTGCTCAGCTGTTAGCGTAGCCACAGGAAGCTACGGTCCTCAGCGCACATTACTGATCATCTAAAACCAGRTTCAGTCCTCAGCTGTTGGACTGAGCAGCTCCTGAGCTTTTCTTTGTTGGATGTTTCAGGTCAGGAGGAGGAAGAGGAGCAGCGTCTGACCTTTTTCACCTTTACGTGTAGAGGGAAGTCACCTGACCCAGGAGCTGTGTCTGAACGCGAGGCGCCACTTCCTGCGGCTCAGTGTGGTTTCATCAGAAACAAACAGGAACTGGACGGTCTAAAAACAACAGTGTAACTTTATAAGAACTTTTATTTGTCCTTCTGCTGGCTGTCTATGATTGTCATTTAGTGAGAACGAACTTTATAAACTCTTCAGCCACATGGAGCTGCAGGGAGTCAGCGGAGGAACAGTTTGAATAAAAACAGCTTCTCAACATTTTACTTCCTGTCTGGTGCCTGATTGTTCTGATGTTGATAAAACATGTGCTACGGTTGTTTTTATTAACGTTTCACTTTATTTATTCACCACACATCAGAGGAAACGGCTCAGWCTGAAAACTTTTCCATGTTTGGGTCAGATCATGTCAAATGGAGAATCATCTAGTGTTGTAATAAATTACTGAATCAGTTTTCTTTAAAACGTTTGGGATGAGGTCAGAAAAGTTTGATTTATTAATATCTAAGGACATCTGTCGTTTGGGTTAAATATAGAAGTAAAATAATATTTAAATTGTATATATATAATTTAAATAAATGATATTTAAAAATAGAATAGAAATAAATATAGAAAAAAAAAACAGAATTTTGTTGCTCAGTGCAAACATTTATCCAAAGCTAAAACCTCGGGATCTACGTCATCAGGAATCCACCACTCAGCGCTCGCAGAGATCCTGACGTCAACCCGGAAGTTGGTTTCCTGCACCTGCCTGAGGAGACTGATGCTCGCGCAGGTAAACCCGGTTCTCCGGGGTTCTTGTTCGTTCTCCTGCTCTTCTAAACTCATAGTTCAGATTCAGTAAGAAGCAGGAGAGCAGCTCGTGTCCTAAACTCGATGGATTTTCCAGTCAATCAACTGTTTTAGCCGCGGAGCAGCTAACGGCTAACTGTTAGCCGTTGCTAGCCAGTCGTTGAACCGGAAGTGGACAAACTGTGTGTGTTATTTTAATCTTTGGCTTTTTGTTGTCACACATGGGAAGGTAAAAACGTTCTTGGATAGTTTTCCTTTCGAGCTGTGGCACGAAACATCTGAGCGCGGTTTGGAAACCTGGTAGATTAAAGGTTTTATTTTGAAATTCCCCACCGGAAGCTGGCTATATCCGGTATTGTTCGCGTTGGAAAAACACAAAAAAGTGGTTTTATTGTACAACATTAACAAAGAGACGTAAACAATTAATGTTTTTAAATATTTATCT